ATGTTGTTTAAAGTTGTGAAGTGGTGATTTTGCATAGACTAATTCTAATTTAATATTATCATACATTTGATTATAATGTTCGATATCTCACCCCTTCTGTTTGAATCCTGCCCTCTGTTGGTAACGTGTAGGTAATCAAGAGTGAAGGCGGTTTACCTTTAGTAGTTCGAGTCGGTGTCATTGCTCTGATATGTAACACTCGGGGGGGTGAGCACTTGCTAGTTTATTGTTGTTATTATTTAAGTTGTTGAACTTTTAGCTGTTTTTAGTTGAATGCTTGTTATTTGAAGTTGTTTAGTTGGACAAAGATGATATATTCTTTTAAGTTGAATATTTGATTCCGCTACGAAGTTATGAAAGTTATTGATTTTTAAAAGGATTAATTTATGTTGTTGTTGGTTCATCCAAGTTAATGTGTTATGTATCTGCAATGAATGTCGTTGTCTTAAGTTGAAATTTGTAGCATCTTGATTCGGTTGTCAAATTTTATAACTCTGATTTATATATATATATATATATAATTGTCGGGTAGAATTAGGGTGTTATATGTCTCACCTTCTTCCTCTTTCATTCCTTCTAGCAATTTTGTCTTTTAATCTTCCTCATTTCCTGTTCCCAAAATCCGTTGACAATAGCAACATCCAAAAGAAAGCCTTTAAGCCACGCGATAAAACCAAATAGCCTACAACATATGAAAACTTTGAAATGCGGTTGTGAATATCTACAATATTTCCCAAAGTCAACTCCCAGTACCATACCTAAAAGGGGGTTGACTTGCCATCATTATTTCAAAAGAAGAATACAAAGTAGGCCTTGAAGCTTGGAAGCACAACCTTCTTAGCAGAATTTTATGGTCCAAAGGTTCTTCCCCTTCAACCGTCACAAGCATAAGGAAAAGTTAGCATCTCAATGGTCTTACATAGCCAAATGGGTTATAACATATATTGGAAAGGGTTTCTAATAATTTACCTTCTCAAGCCTTGAATATATGCAAAGATTCAAATCCATAAGCTCTTGAAACTTGAATCCAGGTATTCTCAAAATCTTTGTATAGTCCAAGAACTTTATACCCTCAAACGTTAATCAAACAGTTGCTCAAGTTTGGGTCAAGATTTTGTTGGGTCATCATGAGGAGCATCCACATTGGGTCAAGAGAAACACATAAGTGATAGAGACACCACATATTCATCCCAAACCTTAAGGTGATAGATGTATGAGTCCTTTCACTTATAAAGTGATAAACCTTCACTTTTATAAGAAAATTTGAGACTTTCTACTCACAATTATAGACTATAATCTTTCCCTTAAGTGTGAGTCCATTCATTATACTTTCCCTTAAGCGAAAGCTCTTTCATACACATACACTTGTATCGTCCTTGCAGGTACTACAACTGGACATGTTGCCTGGCCACCACATTGTCAGGAAGGCTTTCGATACAAGGAGATGGTCCCTTAATTAAACATCAGGTTTGATACCAAGGTTGAGTCATCATGAGGAGAATCCACATTAGATCAAGAGAAACGCACAATTGAAAGAGACACCACATATTAACCCAAAACCTTAAGGTGATAGATGTATGGTTCCTCTCACTTATAAAGTGTTCAACCTTTGTGTAAGCAATGTGAGACTTCCAACTTACACTTGTGCATAATAGATTCATGGGATATCCTCTAAGGATTGGTAACCAAAAATAATTTTCACAGTTGCTAGCAGCTTAAGGACGCCAATACGCATAGACTTAACCTATAGTAAACTTGTTTTTTTATCATCCTTTTGGTAATTTTGTTAAAGTATTAGTTGATATAGATATCCACAAATATTAGAGCTACAAAATTCTAGTGGAAATGGTTGATATAGAGTATGATAAACTTCCTATATTTTGTACACACTGTAATGTTATAGGTCACTCAGTTGAAGTGTGTAGAAAAAGAAGTTCAACCCAAGATGACGATAGTAAGACTAAATCAAAAGGAGAAGGACAAAAAATATTTGTACCTTTGACAAACAAATCTAAAAACCATATTAATGGAGAGGTAGGCCTGAAAAAAACCAAAAATGAAATTGGGGAAACAAGTGGAGTGTTGAAAGTAGATATTCATCTTGAGAAGGAAGTTATCCTTAACAATTTGTTGATATCTCGAATAGTTGAAAACTCAATGCAGGAAGAGCAAGCAAATGAGCATCTTCGGGTAGCACGAAACATTAAACAAGACAATATCATGGAAATATGCCTGGAAAAGCAAAAACAACTTGCAATCTTAGAGTTAGTGAGCTCTGATGATTCAGAATTTGTGGATGCAACTCAAACCACAGTTTTGGAGGAGAGGTTAGTTACAACACAAAAGGAAGGTGAAATTGTTTAACTAAATGATTATGAATTTTTAACTAAATCATATAGATAACATAGATCATATCAACAAGGTTTCCAACTAGAAATCTCAAAATAAATAATAAAAAAAGAAATTAAGGAAAAGATCCAACTTGATGATGCAACTTTAGGTGTGACACCTTGATTTGCTTCCTTACTTCATATTTAACACATGTTTTTCCCTCCTCTTTGTTCAACTTTAGAGTACCTATGACTGTTTCCTTTGATTGGACCTTCTTCATATCTTTCAGGAGTAATTGGTCCAGTTTTTTTATGTAGTAACTTCACTTCAGCTTCCTTTGGCATCAAGCATGTGGAGGAGAAATTTGTTTCTTCAGAAATCCACAAGTAACAATTATCTTTTGATATGACTTCCTTCATGATAACTTCATTCTTCTCATTAGTTACCAAACATTCAAACGCAGTAAAGTTGACTTTGAGACATTGGTCGTAAAATTGACTAACACTTATCAAATTAGCAGTCATCCCCTTAACAAACAACACCTTGTTAAGATCTGGAAGACACCGTGCAACTCATCTTTCTTGCACACTTAATTTCACTTTTTGACCCATCTCCAAAGGTGTCATAACTAGAGGAAAATGGTTTAATGTTCACAAGAAATTTCTTGACACCAGTCATGTGTCTAGAACAACCACTATAAAAAAAACAAATCCTCTCTTGTAGAGGCTCTGATCGTAGTGTAAACTATGAGTCCACAAGTGTTATTCTTGGGAAGCCTTTTAGAATTGGATTTAACATCATCATGTATTCTTCTATGTTGTGTAACAGGATTGGGATAACCATACAATCTGTAGCAAAAAGATTTTAAGTGCCTAAACCTTCCACAATAATCACATCTCTATTGCTGTCTTTGTTGATGTTACTTGTTGATGTTGAGATATGTGTAAGAACAAGAAGTGTTTCTACATATGGCCTTAAGATTTTGATGATAACTTTACATGTTATCTTAGTGAATAAAATCAAGATTTCTATCCCTTCTCAAAACTTAAAAGACTGATGAATATATTGTAGAATCAGAAGTTCCAACCAATGCTCCTTAGTTCTTAAGGCTTCAATTACTTACATCTTAAGACACCTATGGTAAGCAAGGAATCATGAGATATTTAAAGGTAAGAAGCCTTTCATCTTCGTAATCATCAGCAAGGTAAAATCACAACTATGCTTAATTGGACTCAATTCTTCTGTCATATCTTCTTCTTCGATGGAGGATTTCAAAATTATCAAAGCTTTAACATCAAGGCTAAATCCCCTAGAGTTTCTTAAATCACTGAGGTTTTGTGGTATCCTCCGCCTCTTGATTCGATGAACTACAATTATGATTGATTCGATGAACTACAATTATGATGGTACTTACAACCATGATTTGCTTCCAACTGGCTATGATGGTATTTTTTGAAACAAAAATGCTAACTTTGCTCTAGCTTTTGCAAACACAATCTCTTGGAACTCTTCATACCTTGCGGAATTCTTTGGAGTCATTAGCACTATGGAGATAGCTATGGATAGAGGTTATGCGAAAAAGCTATGGACGAAAACAGATTCATTAAATGTTGTGCAAAATTTTCAAAATCCTTCCTTGATCCTGTGGCAAGTCAAGAACAATTGGACTAGATGTATGTATTTTTTTTATACATATATATCTTTTTATCTCTCATATTTATAGAGAGGGAATTCTTGTGTTGATTTGTGGCCAATTTAGGCCTCACTTACAACTCCCTCACAAATTTTTTTTCTTCTATTTCTATTGGCATTAAAAAGAATTTTGTACAGAATAAATATTTTTTTTTTAATAATTTTTTTACTTTTTGATGAGATAATGGCTTTGTCTCTCACAGTTTGTAATGTTTCCTTTCTCAATATATGAGTCTTCATTAAAAAAAAAAACTTCAATGCTTATATTTGTACTATTTAGACACCTAAGTACTTGTATCAAGACTGGTTATCGCTAATTTTTCAACAAAAAAAACTTGTTATCACTTTAATAATTTAATTTTTTTTTCGTTTAAGTCATTTTATATATTTTTTAAGGTGCACAATTGTTTCTTTTTTATTTTCTGTGCAAAAAAAAAAAATTATGTGTCTAGTACAAACAAGATATTTTTCGGACTAAATCAATAATAAACGATGCCCTTGGTAGCATATATAGTGTTTACTGACATGTTTGATAAATTTTCTTATATTACATCTTCAATTCCCACTATAAAAATCATGGTTTGAAACTACAATGTAAAAAAATCATCACAACACAAGGAAAAAAACATATTTTTTAAAATTTTTTAGTTAAGATGATGCTATAAAAAATTAAAATATAATAAATTATAGAGTAAATGATGTTTAGATTTTAACTATGTATACAAAAGTATTTTAAGATTTTATTCAATAAATTACTTTTATTAAAAAAATACATGGTGATGATTGCTTCTATAATACGTTGAGATGAAGTCACCAACTGTGACCCTACATGGTTCCCCATTTGGTCTATATATATACACAAACACAGCCTTTAGTTTCCATACCATGTTACAAACCAAACCAAGTGAAGAAAAGCATCTTACATTATTGAATTCATAATATTAACCTCTGTTTTCCTCTGTCTCTTCCAACACACAATGGAACACAATATCAAAACCCATCATCTTCCCATTCACACCATTCTTTCAAACTCTCCTCCATCTTCATCTTCCTCACCTCCTTTACAATCTCCCACACCTTTTCCTTCATTGCTTTCTCAATATTCTCCTCCCTCCACCGCCCCCGCCCCCGCCGCCGCTGCTCCATCTCCTCCCCCGCCAATTGTTGTTAGCCCTTGTGCTGCTTGCAAGATCCTTCGTCGAAGGTGTGTCGAAAAGTGTGTCTTAGCTCCATATTTTCCTCCCACCGATCCACTCAAGTTCACTATTGCTCATAGAGTCTTTGGAGCAAGCAACATCATTAAGTTTTTGCAGGTAACATAACATACATTCACGATTCACCACTAATTTTTTTATTTAATCATCTCAAACTCAATCTTACAAAATCGACTATTATCATGACCACTCTTTTACACAGACTAGTGTAATTTTTTTAACAAAACTAAATAAATTAGTTGAATTGTCTCAACATTTTTTTAGGAAGACAACATCATGGGTTTTGGTCAAAAAGTGAAAAGCTACCAAAAGACGCATACCTAATTGATAGGCATGCATGATGTGTTGTTTTCTAACTTCCAAACACATCAAAACTATGCATAATTCTCTCTTTACATTTTATAGCAACAACCAACTACTAGCATTTTTTTTTAATCTTTTTCATGGAAAAAGAAAGAAAACAATGAACAAGTCAAATAAACATTAAATTTTCATATTACTTGTTTCTCATAATTTCTTTCTTCATTAGTCCCCTTGGCCATACTCTAACCACTACATTTTATCACAAGTCAATATTAATTAGGTGCCCACATTTTAGATTCTTTCCATTATGTCTAACAATCATGGTCAATGGGACATCAAGTACCAATTTTCCAAATCATCACTCCAATTGTAATCAAGAGTTTTAGTTTGTAGTTTTTGAAAAACTATTATTTCTCTAATATCCCTGAATAATTATGTGTCTAATTTTTTTATTTTTTAAAATTATTGACAATATTATCATATCAACGTCTTAAGTGTTGTATATGATATTTGTGTCTTTGTCTATGCTGTACTACATATTAAATTTTATATTTTAAATTTTAAATATCCAATTTTACTATTGACTTAACACCCTGTCACCGAGACCCGTTAATAATGAAATTGTACTATTTTTTTTCAGGAACTACCTGAACCTCAAAGAGCAGATGCAGTGAGCAGCATGGTATATGAAGCAAATGCTAGAATAAGGGATCCAGTCTATGGTTGTGCAGGTGCAATATGTCAACTTCAAAAGCAAGTTAATGAGCTACAAACACAGCTAGCGAAAGCACAAGCTGAGTTAGTCAACATGCATTGCCAACAAGCAAATCTAGTAGCACTAATTTGCATGGAAATGAGTACTCAGTCATCACCATCATCATCACAAGACCATAACATAATCATCAATCAACCTCAACCTCATGTTGACATGAGTTGCTTCTTAGAAGACAACACTTTTGGGTCTGCTTGGGAGCCTCTATGGACATGAACAATTTATTAGTCTTTCTTTCCATAGTAACTGTAAAACCTAATTTCCAACTCCAAAGTGGGGGGAAGACTAGAGCTAATGAAAATCTTATTGAGAGAATATTAGAATAAAGTCATATTAATTAATTACTAGCTATATGGTTTGTTTTGATACTACTTCATTGGTCATTTCATGAGCCAAACCTTTTGACAATGGAAAAAAAATTAATCATAGTGGTTTTCTTTAAATAATGATGATTGTAGAGAGAAAAAAAGGGTTATATAGAAGAAGAAAATTAGTACAAGAGATAGCTGTTTGAGTTTGAGTCAGCATAGTCTTGAAACAAGTCTTTTACTGTTTGGGACCACCTTCTTTTTTTCTCTTCTTTATTTTTATTTTTTAAGGCTTTCTTGTCAAACCATGAACAATGTGAAAGTTGCTTCATTTTTGTTGACAAAATGAAGTTTCTTCATTATCATCTAATAACATCACAAAACTACAAATTTAGCTTTTTGCTACCAGCAATACCATTGCTTATATTTTTCATTATGAAGATTTTAATAATAATTTTTAAGCAGTATAAAGAAATTTTATTATTAAGAAAGTATATAGCAAAATGAAAAAACAAAAATATTGATAAACCAAAACTCATAAAAAAGATTTTATCGTATCAATATGTTTGAGTTCCATTAATACGAGCCTTTCCTTTGTGGAAAGACCCCTTTGACTATTTGCCATTCATGCTCATGCAATCTAGTACTATCTCATACATGCCCTTTTATGGACCCCCTTTAAAAAAACACAAAAGTTCTCTTTTACATGGTTATTGAAGCTTATCTTCTTCAACTACATATTACAATAATTACAATAATGGAGATAACACCTTTCTCTTTTGTACATTACTTTTATATATTTTTTTAAGTGAATAACCTCTACTTGAAACGGTAGAGATTAATTTTTTAAGTTAGAAGAAAATTATAATAGGCGATAAAACTCCCTCTTAAAATAATTTAATATTAGTGTATATCTAAGTCTGAATTCAACTACAAACACAAATCATAATATATATTATTTTTTAATATTATTGATCAAATATATTATATTTGTAAAAATATTTATTTGATAGCTATAAATATATTTATTTTTAAATAGTTTGAATATTTTTATTGAGCAAAAAGGGTCCAAGCTTCTATAAGAAGTGTCACCCCTACAAGAGAAAGTTAGACGTGTCGTTTCTCTTCAGGACGAGGTGAAAATGCATGGGTCACCTTCTTTTTTAGTTGGCAGGATCACTGAGCTCAAGTCCTCTATGGAGACGAATAATAATTCTCGAATGGATACTGCCACTATTAGGGTGAAGATGAAGCACGATGCTTATGAGGCTTTGAGAGTCCTTCAATAGGAGAAAGAATCTCGAGCTAACGATTGTGTTGCTTGAACACGTGTGATGACACATGCAAATATACACGCACTACTATAAATAACATGTTTCACTTCGAACGCGAAATACATTTAACATCGGCTACATAAACGAGGTAACGAATGGCGTAATGAAAAGTGTCAATTTTACATTCCAGTTTTTAAAACATCGAGAAGAAAATGTTTATTCACAGAGGTTCGAACCCCGACTTCTGCACTTTTAATATTTTCAAAACTAATGCATCAAATCACTCGGTTTATCAATAACACTGAAGGGTAAGATTGATATTTTTTAAAAACTCATTACAAACTATAGAATATTAATAAATTAATTGTTTATCCATAATATTACATTGTTTACACATAATATTTCTGTAAATATATATAACAAATTTTGAATTTGATTCATCGTCTTCACTGTTGGTGAAGATCATATGTTGGATCCTCGTTTCATTGAAATGTCAAGGGAGATTAAATGTTGCATGCAATATATTCCAGATCCCTTTTGTATTTATTGGATTCTGATGTAAAACAAGAACATGGCTAGTTAAATGAATGAATATAAGATTATTGAAGAACACGGTAAAAATATTGATTATTGAAGAACACAAATTTTAAAAGTTTTTTACGCTTAAAAGTTTTCATGTTATTTGTTTCATTAACAACTATTCATATTCAAAATGCTTATATAATGGATGTCTGTTAGGTTTCACGCAAATCACTAATTAAAGTGTGTTGAGCGTTGATACTCATGAAATAGATGACACTGATTTGTTTAAAGAAATTGATCAATATCCTCAATTATCACGCCAAACTTTTACCTCGGTTTCTGACAAAAACTCAAGTAAAAGGTGTATAAACTTTTTTTTTTAAAATTTTTTTTTAACATTACATTACACAAAATATAAAATTACATTATTACAACAAATGCAGTGTTATCATAGTAGTTGATGTTCTTGGAGAACAATAGATCTTTGCTATAATTCAGATTCTGTTGGATACATTTTGTGCTCATTATTTCAAAGTTATATGGATTGCATGCAATCAACTAACGAGCTATCTGCTCCAAGTAAGGAGTTATTAGTTTCAAATATTGGAAATGTTTTTTCTACACTTGCAATCTATCATAGAGAACTTTTCCAAACTTCTTTAAGTTCCAAGATTTCATTATCTTGAGCAAATGTTATTAAGGCAAACGCTTTCGCAAGAAAGATATATAGTAGTGAATTTAGATAGTTTATTGTGGATTGATATCTTTGCAGTATCTTGAGCCTTATTCCTTTAAGAATGTAGAGTAGAGATTTGTTGTTGTAGCTGTGTAACATATTCCCTCGTTTTTATTAAAAAAACTGAGGGAAAACCTACTTTCTATTTTAAATAGAAAAAGAAATAAAATAAGTAAGCCCCTCAATTTTAGAAGAAAATTGAGGTGAATAATATTTATTTATTTTTTTAAACATTACATTGTTTACACAGAATATTAAAAAAAATCTAGATTCATTATCATTGCTGCAATTCCATATTGTGTTGCATATATCTTTTCAAAGGTTGAACAACCTTCTTCGTTTAACATGAAAGCAGGAATAATTTTTTGCACTTGCAATCTATCATAGAGAACTTTCCCAACATTCTTTAATAGAGAGTTGTTCCAAAAATACAACATCAACACCATTATGTGAGATAGATTGCAAGGGCAGAAAAAATATTTTGTTCAAGGATAGAAGAACATTGAAGGTTTTTTTGTCTTGCAATCTATCCTAAAGAATGATGCGTACTAGTTTGGGGCAACAATATATAAGTTAGGATTAGGATAAAATCTGTTTAACGAGTGTTTTTATAGTAAAATGTGATTATTGTATCCCCCGAGTTATTAAGGAAACCGAAGGGATGGACCATTTAGCTTTCACTTATAAACATGGTGCGCCTTGGCATAATACCTTTTTTTTTTCTGGCTGAGGTGAAAACTTTATCATAAAATATATTATTTATAATAGTGATGATATTTTAAAGTAGCAAGTGATATATTAGTAAGGATGTCAAACCCACATGGAGTGAAAATAACTTAGATGGATTTGTAAAACTATCTTTTTTGAATGAGCATGAGCAAAAAATAACAATAATTGATAGTTGCCACAAATTCATCATTAAAGTAAATAGTAGCAGAAATAACTTTGGTCTAAATAAGTGAAATTAATAATGGAGAATATGTTGGTCAATGATAAATTAATATAACTTATTCATTGTGTGTACATGATGTGCTATGTCGTGCCAGATGATGTCAGAATATGATCTTAAGGTGTATTCCTACAACATCATAAACATATACAACAAAGCAAGGGGACAAATTCATAAGCCTCACATTTAACTTTAACGAAAGCGTAGTTTCATTTCAAATGTCCTCTACGATTGTAACTCTTTATGCCTAAGTAGTTAATCTAATGAATATTATTATCATACTATTTTCAATCACATTTATCATGAGTTCCACTTGTTATTAGATTCCTCACAACAACAACTTTTATCTTTTCTTAAGATGATCAGTCAAAGAATCATATTTATGATAGTATAATCCATGATAAATTAAGGAACTAATACCACATCAAATAACATAAAATATTTCTACATATTAACTTCGCATTACTCAACATAAAGGAGTTTATATCATGGTGAGCTAAATGCATACATCAACATTGGATCCTCAGCTAAACATTCTTAAATATATAATACAAAAGAAATGAAATCATAATAGTAACATCTTCGTCTTCTTACAATTTTCAATTAGCAAGAGACGAGTTATGTCATGCCAGATACTGTTATCTTATACTTGAGATGAAGAGATGAGAAATTATCCACTTTGGTTCATCTTACTTCCACACCAATTTCTACCAAGTGTTCCCCTCTAAGTCTGAACCTTTTTGCATTTCCACCAAGAGGTTCTTTTATAGTCAACTTCATCGAGAGTTTGTTGAAGCCTTGGATCATGTGCTTTTGTATATTCGTTACTTTTGGCCCATAAGAATCAAAAAGTTTCTCTCTAATTCTTACTTTTCATACGATTGTTGAGCAAGGTACAAATAACATATGGGGGACAAAGCGTCATATGGAAGGCTATTGGTGCAGGGAGGCATCTGTGGTGTCTTGCGGAAGTTCTCCATTCCAGGAAGATAAGATGCATACTGTAATGGTTGTACTATGGTGCAATCTTCTGTCTTCTAGCGCCTTCATCTTATCCTCTTTAGTTTTCAGGTCGATTACACTCATGTTGTTGCGGTAAAGCATCAAATAAAAGTAAGTATTTTTATTTTATCGTCTCCAGAAGGATTGGTGTGATATCAATGTCATTCAGCAGTCACTATGATTTGAAGCTTAAGTTTGCAAATTGTTTGGAAGTTTAAAGGTTGAAGAATTTAAAACAAGTAAATGCTAAATGAATTTTCGGAGATATGAGAGCTTGTCCAGATTGAATTCCATCTACCGAAAGAATATGGAACTTACCAATCAGTTCTACACAATCTAAACATTTATCAATATAGTTTGTATTGCTTACAAAAACGTTTATGTCTAAACATATGATGATATTTGAACCTTTTAATTGACGATCT